AGGGCTACCCCGGCTACTCTGGCTCAGCATGGCTGCTTTGGCAACTGTTCTCTTCACAGGTGTCTGGAGGCTGCACTGTGGTGCAGCCGCTTGGGCGGGCGGCCAGCCAGTGGCGACTACAGCAGGGACTGGCGGCCAACCCCTCCGGCTACGGGCCCCTTACAGAGCTCCCAGACTGGTCATAGGTGGATGGCCGCCCTGCTCCCCCAGTGAAAGGCCAGCTTGGAAGAAAAGCTGAAAGGGAGAAGTTTGCAAGACGAGTTGTACTGCTGTCACAGGAAATGGACGCTGGATTACAAGCATGGCAGCTCAGGCAGCAGAAGTTGCAGGAAGAACAAGGAAGCAGGAAAATGCTCTTAAACCCAAAGGGGCTTCACTGAAGAGCCCACTTCCAAGTCAATAAAAAGCAACTCTTCCCTCCCTTCCTCAGCCCCTCTCTGGATTTCTTATCACCTAGATGCTTCATCCCAGCCAGAAGAAAGCCTTCACATTCCCCATCCGTGTTCGGAGCAAAAGAGCCGGGACACCAAGAACAAGCTGTTAGATCACTGCCTGGGAGGTCTGGCTTAGTGCCCTCATCTCTGGCTCCATTCCAGTTCAGCTAAGTCTTGCTTTAAAATGTTTACCTCCTTTGCAGGCCATAGGACTGGCCCAACTATGAGAAATAGCTGTTCTGTGAACATGAAAAGGGGACAGCAGTTTTCCTGGTTCTAGCCGGCACTCAAGCCTTTACCAGCCCACACACAGCTTAGGCCATGTACAGCTGTCATCTAATACATGTTTTCGTGAAACAGAAAAAAAAAATGTTGAAGGACCAAACAGGACTTGCGTTTTAGAGGTGGGCCGGGGGCGGGGAGGTGCCGTACACAGTGGCTCACGCCTGTAATCCCAGCACTTTGGGAGGCCGAGGTGGGCGGATCATGAGGTCAGGAGATCGAGACCATCCTGGCTAACACGGTGAAACCCCATCTTCAATAAAAATACAAAAAATTAGCCGGGCGTGGTGGCGGGCGCCTGTAGTCCCAGTTATTCAGGAGGCTGAGGCAGGAGAATGGTGTGAACCCAGGAGGCGGAGCTTGCAGTGAGCCAAGATCAGGCCATCACACTCCAGCCTGGGCGAGAGAGCGAGACTCCGTCTCAAAAAAAAAAAAAAAAAAAAAGAAGTAGGGGAGGTGGGTGCTGTAACTTCTCATTAGGGGCCTTTCTGTAGATTTTAATGTTGTCCATATATCACTTTAAAGAAAAGTAAACTACAAACAGAAAAACCCCCAACTTTCTTTCCAGCACGGGTATAAGCCAGCCCTCCCCCACCACCCAGCCAAGAAGCAGAACCATCCAACCATTCACAGGGCAGCAGAGTGTTGATCCCCAGGCAGCTGACGGGGCCAGCCATGGCACCCCCAAAAGGTGCCCTGCCCTGCACACGGCCTGTCCCCTCACCTCGCCCTGGCGCCTGGTCTTGGGGGAAGGGCTGAAGAAGTTGTGCAGGACAGAGAGCTCTGTGCTGAAGAGCGCGCTCTCCTTCTCCAGGATGTACTGCTTCAGCAGCGGGGAAACCTCGTCCCCGAAGAGAGCCTGGTTGTCTTGCCAGATCTGCCGCTTCACCTCCACGGCGCAGGCTCGATACAGCTCCTTGTCAGCCATGACTAGCTTCAGCTTTTTCTCAGGAACCTACATGACACCACAGGCAGCCTGTGAGTGGCTCCTGTGTCCCTGGATCTCCCTTAAGACAAGCCAAGAGGCCTCAGCCCCTCCCTCCCAAGACCACCTCCAGCTAAGCCCCACCCCACAGGACATCTATGACAGGTTCCCTGGCCCCAGCAGGTTCATGCAGACAAGCCAAATACCAACAGCTCTATCCCAGGGCGGGCCCCACACCCCAACTCCAGTGCTAAGGTTCAGTCTCCACGCTGCTCATGTGGAAGAAGCCAGACAGAGCTCACCATGGACAGCACTCCGGCAGGCGGCGTGGGAAGCTCCCGGAGCTAGGTGGCCACCAGAACTTCCACCAACTTAAGGGCATGAGGGGTGGGCGGACGGTCCACACCACCATGTCAGGGTTAGGGTTAGGGCCCTACCTTGGGCAGGTGCTTCATGACGCACATCACCACGGGCTGCAGGGACGGCATCTTGACCAGAGAAAAGCTCTTCTCCAGAAGGTCTTCCAGCTTCTTGTACCTGCAACAACTCACAGGATTGATGGTGCAGCGATGCGCCAGATCAGAGCAGCTACCTGCTTGTCCCCACACAGGTAACAGCTACCAGAACAAGCCTCCACGCGCAGGACATATAGGGCAAGGCTCCACACTCAGACACAGAACCAGGCCACCTCTGGGAGCAAGGATGTGGAGCCAAAAGGATGATAAATGCCCCTGAGTCGATCCAAGGCTGAGAAGACAGCCGCACATCTCACCTGCCCATCCCTCCCGCTGACCCACCTTTCCTCAGCCTTCCCCTCCGAAGCGATGGCTGACACTCGCTCCAGCAGCTTGTCCCGTAGCTCATCGAACACCGACTGGTGGAACTCCAGCCGCGGCGTCCCGTGCAGGTCCAAGAAAGGGAGGGCGGACTGAAGAGAGGGCAGCAGCACGCCATTCTCTGTCTGAGGAAGTCAAGAGAAATCTCAGCCGCAGCCCAGTGCGCCCGGGCACCCCAAGGTTCTAAGAGCTCGAACCCAGGGAGGTACGAATCCAGCTGTTCCCAGCAGTGCTGGCGGTAACCGCAGCCACCGAAAGCCACCCAGCCGTCCAGCAAAGGGGTGCTGGCTCCGGACTCCACCCCCAAAACAAGACTCAGACACCAACAGAAAGCCGGAAAACTTCCGGCGCCTCCGCCAGGCCCGACTCCCGCGCAGGCAGCCCTGCCCTCGCACCGGGCTCCCCCCGCCCCGGGGGCTGCCCCACCTGGAACTGCTCGATGGCCTTGAGCGGCTCCGTGCAGTTGGTCAGGGTCTCCTTCAGGTCCTCGCCGTTGGCCA